CGAGTCCCCGGTTGGGGGGTGCAGCTTCAGGTGCCTCCGCAGGGGGGTCACGGCCTCTGTCACCAGGTACAGGCACTGCTCCGTCTGGGGGGGTCACCTGGGTCAGATCAGGGACCTCCCCAGGGACCCCCACCCACCACCCTCACACCGGTCCCGTGTCCCCCCCATTTCACCCCATCCCCTGTGTCCCCCAAGTCCCTTTGTGTCCCCGCCATGCCCCCTGCCAGGTCCCCCCTCAGGTCCATGTCCCCTCATTCCACATCTCCCCCAAGTCCCCCCAGTGTCCCCAGGTGCTCTCATCATCCTGTCCCCTCCATGTCCCCCCCAATGTCCCCAGTGTCACCTCCAGGCTGTCCAGGTACCCCAGCACGCTGGGTGTCCCCAGTACCCCCCCAATGTCCCCAGTGTCACCTCCAGGCTGTCCAGGTACCCCAGCACGTTGGGGTGGCGGAGGCTCCGCAGCCGTTTCAGCCCCGCTCGGGCCAGCGCGGCCCCCCCGGGGTCGCCCCCCGGGCCCAGCGGGTGGGTGAACACGGTCACGGGGGTCCCGTCGGCCTGGGAGGGCAGGGGGCGACAGTCAGGGGCTGGAGGGACACTGAGGGGACGATCAGGGGTCAGTGAGGGGACAGAGGGACAAGGAGAGCTGGAGACATAGTGAGGGGACAATGGGGGGGGGGGAAGGAGGGGACAAGGGGACAGTGTGGGGCCAGGCGGGCACGTGGGGACACGTGGCGACCTGGGCTGACATTTGGGGCCTGGGGGGACACGGGGGGACAGTGGGGGGGGTCGTCGGGACCTGGGAATGGAGGAGGCATCTGGAACCCGGGGACGGGGACAAGGGGACACAGGGATGGGGCCCTGGGTGGGCATCGGGGACGCGGGAAGACACGCGGGGAGAGGGGAGGCACACGGGGGACCCTCCTCGCCCCCCCTCGATCCCACCTTGCGGCGGCCCCGCTGGAGCCGCCAGAGCGGGGCCGGGGCTGCGGGGTCCGGGGGCGGCTCCGGGGCCGGGTCCGCGTCGGGCGGGCCCAGCTCGAAGGGGAAGTCCCGCACGGGGTCGCGGGAGAAGAGCCACATGGCGGGGCGGGGGGCCCGGGGCGGCCCGGGGGGGGCCCGGCGGGTCCGGTCCGAGCGATCCCGGGAAGCGGCGCCGGCGGAGGATCCGGGGACGGACCGGGGGGGCGGGGCCTGGGGGGCGGGGGCGGGATGAGCCAATGGCGGGCCGGGGGAGGGGCCGGGAGAAGCCACTGAGAGTCCGGGGGCGGGGCCTGGGCGGAGTAAAAAGAGGGACCAGGTGGATTTATGGGCGGGGCCAACGCGGGGGCGGGGCCGATAAAGACCCAGCGACTGGGCCGCAGGAGAGGGCGTGGCCTGCGTTGCGAGGGGCGTGGTGAGGAGGGCGGGGCCACTGCAGGGGGAAGGACCAGATGAAAAGGCGGGGATTGCGAGGGACACGCAGACAGGAAGTGAAGGTGACGTCACCACCGGAAACAGACCGTGACGTCACGCTGAACAGGAAATGACATCACACTACGCCTTCAGAGCCTCAGGGTGACCCCAAAACCCCCCAAAATCCCCCGACATCCCCCCAGTCCCCAGGGAGGACACAAGGCTAGTCAGGGTTAAGCAGTTTATTGGTACACAACATGGGGTTCCGTCACGATATGGGGGTCCTGTCGCAGCACAAGGTCTGTCATGACAGGGCGCCTTCCCAGCCATACTAGGCCCTGCCACAGTCCTGGGTCATCGGAGCAGCACGAGGGTCCTCGTCGTGGTCCAGGCTGAAATCTGAGCCCCCATCGCAATATGGGGGGTCTCCATTGCGATAGAGGAGTCCCTGTCGCGATATGGGGCCCTCCTGTCCCTGTTATTGCGGGCTCCACCAAAGCAGCTTCGATAAACTGGGGAGGAGGCGCGTCCCAAGGAGGGGCCCCTGTCACAATATGGGGGTCCCTGTTACAGCAGGGGGGTCCTAGGCCAGCACAGGCGCCACGGGGGGTCGAACCCCGCCCCGGGGATTCCCGGGGGTGCCACCACCAGCACCTTTTGCTTTTTTTTTGGCCTTTTTGGGTCCGGAGGAGAAAAAGCAAAACCTGAGAAAACGGGGAAAAGTTTTCTCAGGAAAAGAAAAAACCTCCCGAAACGGGGAAGAAAAAAACCGTCCCCAAGCGAGGAAAAATGTCCCCAAAGGGGCCCGGCCCCGCCCGCGCAGTTTGGGGCCGGTCGCGGGGATTTGGGGCTGAACGGAGCCCGAAAAGGGGTGGTTTGGGGGAAAAGCCCCACTTTGGGGGGCTCAGGGTCAGTCCCGCGCCCACGGCGCAGTTTGGGCTGAGAAACGGGGATTATGGGTCGGAGTCGCGTCCCAGGCGCAAAATGAGATCAGAATCGGGGATTTTGGGTCCGAGTTGCGTCCCGGGCGCAAAATGAGGTTAGAAATGGGGATTTTGGGGCAGACGCGCGATCCAGGCGCAAAATGGGCTCGGAACGGGGGGGTTCGGGTTAAACACGCGCCCCCAGCACAAAATGGGCTGAGAAATGGGGATTTGGGGTTACTCGCGCGCCCCCGGCGCAAATTGGGCTCAGAACGGGGAGTTTGAGGTTAAACGCGCGCCCCGCGCAGTTTGGGCTGAGAAACGGGGATTTTGGGGTCGGCGCGTCCCGGGGCCCCGCCGGTACTTACTCCGCTCGCTCACCTTTTCCTGCCTCTTATTTTGGGGGGAATTTCTAGTTTTTAGCCATTTTTTGGCGCCAATTGTCCATTTTGGGGTGAATCGAGGCGGTTTTGGCACTGTCACTGTGGGGAGGGGAGAGAGACAACACCACCCCCCCTCCCCCAACCTGCTCCTCCATCCCTCCACTTTTGGGGGAAAATCCGGGGAAACTGGTTAAAAAGCACCTCCCCCTCCCCCAGCACCGCGAAGGTGCTGACTCAGCACTTTTTTGGGTGGAAAAGCCCCATTTTTGGGTTCAAACTCCCAGCTGAGGGGTGGACCTGTCCAGCAGCGCATACTGGGGCAATTTTAGCCCTTTTTGGGTTATTTTTTGGGGGGAAAAGCGGCCAAACCCAAAGCTGCCCCCCACCCTCCGGAACGGCCCATTTTGGGGTGAAAGCGGCACAAATACCCATTTCTGGTCCCTACTTCTCCTGCAGACCCTGTCTGGGGGCTTTTTGCCCCAATCTGGCGCTCGGAGGCTCCTCGGGCGGGGGCAGGGCCGGCGGGGCTGCAAAAAACACCCACGAGACCCCCCCCCCGAGCCCTGTCAGAATATTTATGGGGGAAAAGCGGCCGAAGCGGTGAAACCGCCCGATCGTCGCATATTCCCGCGAACCCGCCGGGTTGTGGGGGGGGGGGGTTTGGAGGGGTTTGGGGTCGGGGGGTGCCCACATGCCATGACCGGGGGGTCCCCGCTCTCCCCCCCTCCCCCGACGCCCCAAAACCGGCCGGAATTGCCCCAAATCCGCCGCCTCTCCCTCCCTCCCCGCGGATCCCAGGGGGCTCAGGGTGGGGGTAGGGCGTGCCCGGTACCTGCTGACGCCGATTCGGGGGGGTTTGCCTCAAATTTGAAGCTCCCCCCCTCGCTCACTCCTAAACTTACTCGTTTTGGGGGCAAAAGTCTAAATTTAAGCATTTCTGCGGCTGGTTTTGGAGAAAAAACCTGAAAACATCATTATTAACCCCTCCCCCCCCTCCAGCCCCTTCCCCCGCAGGGTTTTTGGGTGAATTTGGGGGGGAGGTTACGTTCTTTTTCCTAAGGGATCTCCCGGAGCCACATTCCTGAATTTCCAGCTTCACTTTGGGCCAAAAAAGCGGCTTTTTGCTGTTGCTGCCTCCTCCCAACTGCAGCTGTGGAAAGGGCGGAAAACACCCCAAAAACACCCCCTCCCCCAAAAACCACCCCCCTAAAAACGAAATTAAAGCAACTCTTACTTCTCTGCATTCCCCAAACCTGGGGGGTTCTCCTCAAATTCCTGAGCGTGTTTTGAGCGCAGAATGGCCTTTTCTGGTTAAATCCTCTCTTTTTTTTTCCCTTTCCTTGGCTTTTTTCTCACCGTTTTTTGCCTTTTTTTTTTCCTGCGTTTTGCTGCTTCCCTGGGGGGGAAAAAAACCGGAGACCCCCCTCCCTACCCCCACAAAAAAATAACACCGTTCTTTGTCCCTTTTGGTCCCTTTTCTGGAGCATTTCCACCGACCCCTCCCGCGCGACGCCTTTCCGGGTAAAAACAAGAGATTTTGGACACTTACTGAGCGGCGCCGGCGGGAGCGGCGGAGCCGGAGGGCGCTGGAGGGATTTGGGGGGTTTTCCCCATTTCTGGGGGGTTTAATAGAAAAGGGGGGGGGGGGGGGGGGGCGACGGCGGCGGCGCCTGAAACGACAAAACCCCAAAACCCCCCAAATCCCCCCAAAACTCCCAACCCCACATGGGGGAAGGGGCCTCACCCGGCTCCATTTGGGGCATTTTCCTCAATTTTCTCAACTCCGGGACCCAAATTGGGATTTTTCTTCCTTTTTCTCCTTCTTTTTTGCTTCTGATTTTCTGTATTTTCTCCTCTTAATTCCTCTTTGGTTTTCACTCATTTTTCCTCTCTTCTCTTATTTTTCTCTTCTACTTTTTCTCTCTTCTCATTTTTCCCTGTTTTCACTTCCATCTTCTCCAATTATCAGCACTTGCGTTTTTCTTTATTCTATTTTCCTTTTTTTAAAATAGTCCTCTTAATATTTTTTCCAATTTTCGTTTTTCTATATTTTCCAATTTTTCTATTTTCTTTTTTCTATCAATTTTCTATGTTCTTCTATATTCTTCTATTTTTTAAATTTTTTCTATTTTCTTCTATTTTCTATTTTTTCTATTTTCTTATTTCTTCTATTTTCTATTTTTTCTATTTTCTTTTTTCTAATTTCTTCTATTTTCTATTTTTTCTATTTTCTTTTTTCTAATTTCTTCTATTTTCTATTTTTTCTATTTTTTCCCATTTCTTCTATTTTTTCTATTTTCTTTTTTTAAAATTTCTTCTATTTTCTATTTTTAATTTTCTTTTTCCATTTTTTCTAGTTTTAATTTTTTTCCAATTTTTTTCTATTTTTTTCTTTTCCAATTTTCAATTTTCTTTTTTCCAATTTTCTTCTATTTTCTCTCTCTTTTTTGTTCTATTTTCTGTCCTCTTTTTCCTCTTTTCTCTCTTCTCTCTGCTCCTCCCCTGCCCAACCGCCGCTTTTTTACCAAAAAGTCCATTTTTTCCCCCAGCGGGGGCCGCTGCGAGGAAAAACGTCCCTTTCCCTGCCGGCTCCATCTTCACTCTTCGGTTTTCCTGCTTCTCCCCCAAACTGGCTCCTCTCTGTCCATCCTGAGCCTGAAAATGCCGCGTTTCACCCCAAACCGGCCGCCCCCTGCGCTGCCCGGCCCCGACGGGGCAAAACCCCTTTGGGAAGCTTTAGGAGCTTGTTAAAAATTAAAATTTAAATTAACCCAAATTTAGGAGCTGGTTTTTTAGC